GCAATGATTTTGTTAGTTTCATTATATTAGTATCACCTCTCTAAGTGCACCTACGTGATATTTTAATCACATATTTTATAATTGACCAATAGAATTTTTTTCATCAGTAATTATTATTTAAACTTTTTTTTATGTTTTACGTCATTTGTCAGCCTTCCGGGACCAACCATTATAAAAATCCTGGTCATAAGAACTCATTATATAAAAATCTGACCACTATAACACACTTTATAACAATTATGCGATAAGTTAGCTATAACAATTATGCGATAAGCTATTATAAGATCCTGGTCGGTTTGACACTTATTTGTTTTTATCTCTGTCTCTATGCTACAAAATTACTTCTTTGACAAACATGCCACCAAAAAAAAAAATAATCCTAACAGATGCCCAAAAGTATGACTTCTGCCTTTATACCCACAACAATTAGCAGACCCGGAGTGAATATGTCCAATGGATTAAACAGAGGTGGGGAGTTATGGTCAACGAGTCAACAATCATGCGAATTCTCCAAACTAAAGAGGCATGACTAGCAACAGAAGTCATAAGTCCAGAAGCAAAGCGTCATAAATCTGTTGCTGTTTCAGAACTTGAGTTAGCACTCAAAGAATTTATACTGGTCTATCAAGACCAAACGATTTTGAGTGATGCCTTATTGGTTGAGAAAGCCAAGTTATTAGCAGAAGAGTTAGGAGTTTCTGCAGGTACATTGGCATTTTCTCATGGGTAACTCCAGAAATTCAAGAAACGTTATGGAATTCGTCAATAAAAACTTGATAGAGAAGAGGCGTCTGCTGATCTAAATGCTATTGCTGAGTCTTTACTATTATTACAAGATAAATATTCAAGGTATCCTCCTGAGTAAATCTATAATATGGATGAAACTGGGCTTTTCTATCAGTTGAAACCCGATCGGACACTAGCGATATGGCATCTTGCTGGGTGGAAGAAAAATAAGAAACGTCTTTCTATCACATTGTGCATAAATGCCGACGGATCTCACAAGTTAAATCCCTTTATAATCAGAAAGTCAGCAAATCCCTGGTATTTCAAAAATCTGCAAGTTCAAAATCTGTCTATGACATATCGAAGCAATGCCAAGGCCTGGATGCTTACGGTTCTTTTTCAAGAATGGCTGCAGGATTTTAATCATTAAGTTGCACAAAAACATAGAGATCACCGGATTCTTTTGCTTCTCGATAATTGTCCAAGCCATAAGATTCAAGAGGTAATGCTTTCACATGTCGATATTTACTTTTTTCCCCCAAATACGACTTTAAAAATTCAGCCAATGGATGCTGGAATAATTATGACTTTTAAGAGATGCTATTGTCATTTTCATCTCCGATAAGTCTGTGACTTGTCTTTCAGCCTGTTCATCAATCTTTCATTTGCTGATTTACCGTTACTTTATTAGGTGGTTGTTAGAGCAAATTGAGGCAGGCCAATTCATCCAAGATTTGAAGTTGAATATCCTCCAAGCAATTCAGTATATTATCCAAGCCTGAGAAGAGATGACTCCTGTAACCATTTGTAATTGTTGGCACCATACAAAGATTCTTTCTACCAGTGCCAATCTCTCAGATGACATTCAAGAAACTGATAATTCAGTACTCTAGGAGCTTGCCGAGACGCTTGATGCCCTTTACCTTCTGAATCAGATGGGAGTTAATGAGTTTTTGACTGTTCCTGACGAGAATACTGTCTATGAAGTTCCGGAGGAGGATCAGCTTATCAAGGAGCTTGCAGACGCATTTAGAAGAAAGGAGACTAACAACTTCGATGAAGAAAATGAAGAAGAGGATGATAGCGATGAGCCAGTGATTATTAGTACTAATATAGCTTTAAAAAGTTTAGAGAATGTTATGATTTTTTTGCTTCAACAAGAGAATACAGCAAAGCAAATAAAGTCAGTGGGTATTTTAGAGCAGTTTATTAGAGAAAAGAAGATTAGTCAATTACAACAGTTTTATATCAAAGACTACTTTAATCTTTAAGATTTTGATAATAAAATTTTAATGGCGATTGATTACTATAATAAAATTTTAATGACATAATATATGTAGCAATTAAGTTATAAAAAATACTTTTTTCCCTAAGTGCACACCCTCTCTAATTGCACGCTCATGACTGGTCCCAAGAGAGATGCATTTAGGGAGGTTTATCTGTAATTATCTATTTATATGACATAGTAGATATGATATAGTATATGATACAGCTACAGCATGTGATATAGTAATCACTGATCACTATTAAATTAGGCAAACAAGAAATTTATATTAATTAATCTTATTTATTATTAATTCTATTTTTAGTTTATATTATTATTTATATTTAGTCTTATTTATTTATTAATTTAGTTATATATATTATATTTAATTTATAGTTTTATTAAATTAATAATTTCTCAATTAATTATTAGTAATTTTCTTTCATTTCTTGCTTTAGCTTTGAATAACTTAATATTTTGCTAATTTTAATTCTTTATTATCATGTATTTAATATTTCTTGTGATTATTCTTTTCAAATTTTACTTGTTCTTAAGTAAATTAAGTAAAATATTATATTAGAAATGATTTATAATTAGCATAATAAGAAAACATTATATATAAAGAATCAAGAAGTGATCAAGAAAAATAATTAAGTTTGATAAAAAGAATTAATTACAGAATTAAGAGTAGTTAATTAGTATTTTTCTTTAATAAAACATATATTTTATCATATATCTTATCTTATTTTCTTCTTGCTCTATTGAAAAAGTAATTTTATTAGAAGTAAAACATATATAAATTATCTTATTAAGAAGATAATCATATTTTATTAGAAATAAATCTTACATATATTATCTTATTGAGAAGATAATCAGTTATATAATTTCTTAAAACTATAAAAGTAAATAATTATTGTGAAAATAATTATTATTACTATTTTAAAATATTTACATATGCATAAACTTAAAATAATAACAACACTAGCAAGAAAAATTAACAAGTATTAAAATGATAAAGAAAAATTTAATCTAAATATTTATTCATTATTAATATAAATTAATCTTAAATAAGTGATATCTTTAAATTCATCTTTAACAAATAGATAAATATTATAATAAAAAAATATTCTTGTCTTAGATAATTTCAGAAATAATTTTTTAGTTTTTGATAAATTAAATTTTGTATAAGTATCATTAGCAATCAGTTAAGCTTTAATAATATTAGATTTGACTGCTTCAAATACAAAATGCTAATATTTTTGCAAGTCACTCAATTTTTTAAAAAAAATTTCCAATACAAAACTAAGATCCAAATATTAAAAATCTTTATTATTTTTATAATACTAAGCTTTATTTAATCTCATCAAATATGATCTATGCAATCTACTGATATTTTGATATAATTTCTTAATCAATTCAAATTATCATCACATTTAAATTTAGTATATTCAGATATCATAATAGCCACAAATTATTAAATATAGGTATGATATTATTTTTATTCTATTCTTCTACATTATTACAAGTAATCTTTTAATATTTTTCACCTTTATTCAATCTCCTAATTCCATCAAATACCATGCTTGACATACCATTAGGATCTTTGCTAATAATCTCATCTTCATCAAGAACATAATTAATTTGTTTATGGACTACTTCATTTTAGATACTAAATAAATATACTTTACGTGGACTGAGATAATAAATCTTATCTGTTGATCAGAATGGGGAATATGAATATTTTGCACTTAATCATAACTATAATAAGCAGTTGTATCAATATTGTAAAAATTGGCTTTATCTCCTGTCACAAGATCATTCTCTGTTGTTCTGCTAATTTTGTATTTTTGTTTTAATACTTTCTTTATAATTTAGCCTTAACTAAATATCCTTTATATTTTTTTAATAAATCTTTTGCTTTCTCTTTCTTATGAGCATTATACTATAAATTATTCTGAAAATATTAGTACATGTCACATAAATCTATTCTTGAACTCATAATTTGAATATAAGGTATTAATTGATATCATAACTTGCAGAATGCATTATATTTTAATAATTTTAACATGCTATCATTTTTGAGACCTATAATAAAATCATGATAGACTAATTTATAACTTATTTCAGCTGGAAATAATATAAGTGATTGAGTAATTCAGTTAACATTTCTACCAGGACTTGATAGTCCATGGATTTCAATATAATTTTTGAGAAACTTTTTCATGACAGTAGCAATAGTTATATCAATGGTTATTTTAGTCTTTCATTATGGCACTTTTTTATATTATCATGAACATGTAGTATTATATCATTTATTATCAGATGATTTCTAATGTTTTTGAAGTATATATAGACAATTCCTAATATATTGAGATATATTTTCTAAAGTGGCGTATCATGATCTTAATAGTAAAATATTCTCTTATTAATACATATTTTCTTTTTAATTTATTAGCTGACAGTTATTTCTCATCATTTATTACTTTCAGTTGGGTCATTAAAAATATATCTTGCTTGGATCTGAAGAGAACTTGAAACATCTCATGTAATTTGGCAAACTTTTCTCTTGAAATCTTTTGAGTAACCATAATGGTAATCTATCTCCAAGAAATATATTACTTTTTTGTATTCAGTAGAATTATTATAATTATAATTCTTTATATATGAGTACTCCTATATATAATTAATATAAATTATTATCATATCTGTTAGTCTTATAATTGTTATTAATTCAGTTGTTGAAAAAGATTTGGTATTGTGTTTATCAACTAGGTCCTAATTAATATCATTACTTGAAATTTACACTAATTTGAAGCATTCAGTTTGTTATTCATATCTCTCTCAACTGACTTGTAATAGATTTAAGGCCAATTTATTATGTAAGAATGTCATTTTATGTAATATAGTAGCTAACTTTACAAATTTAATTTGATGAGAATCTCTTTTTTTTGATGAGAATTCTATTTGGAGTGTAGCAAAGTTTCTACATACTATTCTATTATGACTTTGCTTATTTCTTATCTTTCCTACTCTGCTTGTACTTCTTTGCAGTCAATGAACTTTCTTCTTGCTCATCACTAACTTGTAACCTATTATTGTGAATTATAATATATTTGTCACTGCAAGGAATAATATGTTTGAATTAAGCATACAGGAAGAAATTACCTTTTCTTAGTACTCTTATAAGCACAAGTTAACATATAATACAGAAAATACTTGTCTTCTGGAGCGCAGAGTAGTGTTGCATCATTCTGTGCACAAAGAAAACTTTCAAGTATATTCTGATATTAGATTTAAAGGAATCTAGATCATGGACTAAGAGCTAATTATCACTGCTCAAACTCTCAGCTATTTTAGATGCAGATGATCGTGTAATTGATGGGCTATATTTAAATGAATTAAGCTCAGAGGTGTCTTTGTATGCTGCTCTTGCAAGAGAAATAGATAGTGTTTATTAAAATACTCTATGTTTCCTGTAAAAATTACTATTATATCAAATTTATGATCAAAGCTTTCTCACCAGTGTGAACATAAATGACCAGATAATTATTCTTAATAATGTTAGTACAGTTCTTAAAGAAGATAATCCTAGGCTCAAGCTGACATCCTGCTGCAAAGGTTTCTTCTGTTTGATTCTGCTTAACTGTATAATTCTTGATCTAGTTTTCTTTTTGTCTGAGACAAAAATATTTTGCAGAATTATAATAATACTAACCTGTATCACCAATACTTCAAAACATTTTTTATCCACCTTATGTCTAATAACTAATCCAAGATCTGAATCTTCTTGATTATTCTTAAAATATATTGTACCATACTGATCCCAAATACTTTTGAATATTGATATGTCTGGTTTTTCTGTAAGTCTAATAAAGTAGGTAAATCCTACTTCAAAGTCTTTCAGGTAGGAAAATCTCTCCTTTAAAAACTTTAGTTCAAAAAGCTCTTCAAGAAATTTGAGAACTGAACATTTGACTAAGAATGAAATCTTGTAAGATAAATAGACAAAAATAAGCTGATGTAAATAATAATCAGAATAAAAATACTTGATATAAACCTTATTATTCTCTCTGTTTCTCTTTAAGCAGATCAACTAATACTATGCACTCAAGAATAACAATCTCACAACCAGCTCCTCCTGACTTTCTGCATTAAGAATTCTACTAGATTTATTGATAGCATCCAGTTCCATTAGCACCCCAAGCTCTATACCATTCTCTGATAGTATCTTTAGTGCAGCTTCAATTAATACAGGCTCAGATAGGTAAGTTATCAGATGTTTCTTATGATCATTATCAATATGAATCAATATTATCATATATAACTTGACAAGATTAGATGTCAAACTTGAGATTGGGGAGATATATAAAGTGGCAATGCAAGCAATTACAGCAAGTGATACTTTTCTTTTTATCTCAGTATTCTGATCTCATTGATTCATTTCCTCACGAAGCTTAAACTTGACAAATTGTATAATATCATTAAATTTTTCTTGATTTATCTTCCAGAACTCTGCTAATTACCATCGAGAACTCCATAACAATCTGTCAAATTAAATGATATCATGATCTGAACCATTCTTATTGAGTGAAATATCAGCATTACAAATCCCATTGATAATTGAGTATGTAGCAGTCACAGATATAAATGATAAAAAGAAAGCTAATCTTAGGTAATTCATCATGGTTAAGTAGATAAATAGTTTATAGACTTTATGATTAGAGCCCCTTGTCTAAGAGATATTATTATTGATATCAATTTTAGTTATAGATTTGTCTTATTTTTGTAATTTATTAATTAAATAACATAATTAAGAGTTTTAAAAAGTGTTTGAAGCTAATTGTTAATACATATTCAATTTGAGATGCCAAGTTAACAATCAAGAAATTTGTATCTGTTAAGAGACTAATAATATAGATCTTATATTTGAGTAGGACATGCTAAATTGCTCTAAATATCTGATTTTTTTCAGTAACAGCCTCTTGATTCTTTTTTTTAGCTACAAGATGAGTAAGAAGTATGAATATTGATTATTATAAGAACTGCATTTGCTCAGAAATTAGAGATAATACATATAAAGTAGAGCAGAGACTTTATCAATAAAAAGAATTATCTTCTTTTTAGTTTGCAACATCTCTTTATTTTCATAATTAATATTGATAGCATTCTAGAAATCTATAACTTATTGCTAAAGAAATATCAAAGCATATTTGTATTATATCTAGAAAGTAAAACAATTACATTACCTGGTCTTTTAACAATGCTTACTAATATCTCTCTTGCAGTTTCTTCTTGTAAAATTCTTCTCTTTTCTTATAAAATATCAAGATAATTGATCAAATCCAGCCTAGTACCTCAACTTCAGCTTCATTTATATTTCTTGCTTCTTTTATATTTCTTAGCATATCCATACTTCTTAGGATGACTGGAGAGTATCTAGTTGAGTCATTTTTGCAAAAACAGATATATACAAAGGGGAATTTAGCTGCAAGTTCACAGCCTGCTCTTGTCTTTTCATACCCTGATGACTAGATGATAGTTAAATAATTAAAGTGATCATTGATGTCTGTAACTTGATATATCTATTGGTATAGTACATGTAGATAGCTAACAGAATCTCAAAATGAGATGTTAAAGGTCTTTTTAAGTTCACACATTTGACTTGACCCTAATACTTATTGTATTGGGTCACTATGAGCTAGGTATAAGTATAAGTTTAGTTAATTGTTAAGCTTATGATACCTCTGTCTAATCAAACAGAAGACAAGAAATGCAGATAGTAGTACTAGTTATAAATAGCATTTTGAAATGAGTTGTTTTAAGTAAGTATTTTATATTGTAATAGTATTTGAATAATTCTTTTTCTATTACGTCTACTTTACTTAACCCAAATATATCATATCTTACTTATTTGTCTTTCAAATAAGTTTATATAAAACTTAGCTATGCTATGATTCTGCTCTATATTTCAACTCAAAAAAAGGCTGCCATTCTCTTTTTGCTATGTTTTAGCTCTGCATTCTCCTAATAAATAATGTACATAATATTCTATACTTCTCCTAATGCATATTGTAAACTATTTAAATTCCATTGCTCTTACTCTACCTAATCCAAATATACTATATTTTGCTTATTTATCTTTCAAACAAGTTTACATATAATATAATCTTTATTATAACTCTATTCTATATCCTAATTCAATGTATATTATAAAGTATTTCAATTAATCTCCTAATAAATGTATATTTATTGCTTGCTTATCCTGTTATATCTTGAGGTACTCTTTATATATTTCTTCATCAGTGGTATTAGGATGTTGTCTAAGATATTTTGCAGTAAGTTTCATAATAAATTTTGCTTGCAAATCTATATTAACAACTTATGAGAAGGATATAAAGAATGTGTAATATTTATATCTTGCTATGCATAATAATTGTAGTGATCATTATGAAATCTATATATTATTATAATTTATTATTTTATACTCACATTTTTATTAGATAATTATTTAATTATATTTTATTGGACAATAATTAAGATAATATTATTAGTAAATATTTTTAAATAGATTTACAAGCATAATAATCATGATGAAATTATCATAGCAAAGTTAAACTATCATAACAAAACTAGCAATGTTATCATAACAAAATTAATATTATGATATTAGTAAAAGTAATATTTAGATTATAACAAAAGTATTATCTCTAAAATATTTAAAAGTAATATATCTTAATTAGAAAAAGAAATATAGAAATTAATTAATAAAAATTAATTAATAAATAATTAATAAATTAATGAATTAAATAATAATAAGGTATAATAATTTAAATATAATAATATTATAAATTAATAATCTTTATTAATAATATCTTATTTATTATAATACATATTTCTTATATTATGATTTTTAATCATATCATATCATAAATATATTCTTATTACCTATCTTTAATCTTATTATAATTATAGTCTAATATCTATTATATTATATTTTTAATTATATTAGTCTTTTTCACTTATAATTAATAATATCTTTATTATATTTTATTCTGATCAAATATTATATCCTGTATAAAATTATTAATCTATTATAAAATAATCTTTTCAAGAGATATCAAAAATAATAACAAATTTTTTGATATCTTTTCTGTGAATTTAATAGAATTATTTATTATCTATTTTAATAATTTTAATAATAAAATGTGATTATGATAATATTATTAATATTATATAAGATTATATATTATATAAAAATTATTAATTAATTAAATTATAAATTAATAAATAAAATTTTAAAGCAACTTAAAAATTATATATTATAATTTTAATCAGAATTACAAAAATTATTAGCTATATAAATTAATTATAAGTCTTAAAAGATATATGTTACAGAGTAAATAAGTCATATAATTATAATGAAAATATGAATTCTCTTTTTTTATTATATAAAGCAAATAATAACTTAATAGAAGAAAAATAAAAGTTATAAAGTTATTCAAATAATCTAACAAGTAATAAAATATTATAATAAATTTCTAATACTCTTTTCATAATAAAGTAGACTTTTAAATAATAAAAAATAATAATTTTTGATATAAAAAAAGTAAATTTGCAAAATATAAATAAAAAAAGAAAAAAATAATAATTATTACAATAATAATAATAATAAAATCTATATCAGTCAACTAATAGTATATAGAAATTAAAATAAAATTATGAAAAAAGAGATTTAGCCAAGAAAAATTTCTTTATATCTCTTATAAAAAGATAAAAAAGATAATAATAATATTTGATCTAATGATTAAAATATAATAATAATATAAATTTGTTATTTGAAAATTCAAAAATAAAATTTAGAGATAATATAAATAATTTAAGAATTATAAAGATCATATCAAATATTTATATAAAATTATAATTAATATTAACTCAAATTTTTCAAAGAAAAATTATTTTCTCAAAAGAATAATAAGTAGATTATCAACAAATTTTTTATTAATAAAGTAATTTGTTATTAATATGAATTTTTAATTAATATTAATTATTAATAAGATAATAAATATTAATTAAGAAATTATATTATAATTTTAAAATTATATTATATATTTTTGAATTATTTTAACTAGAAATTATTTTTGAGATAATATAAATATTTTTTTTAACTTAAACTTTAAAAATAACTAAAAATTCCTAGTATTTTTAAAGATTTTTAGTTTTTAAATATTAAATTTTTTAAGTTTTAAAAGATTTTTAATTTTAAATTAAGTTTAATATATAAATATACTGATTAAGATAGCACAAAGTTAATTATAATAAGTTTAATAAAAAAATTTAATATGTAAATATGTTAATTAAAATAATATTACTATAATGACATAAAATTTCTTAATTTCTTAATCTTTTTCTAGTTATGCAAATTTGCATATTTTTATATTTTTCTTTTATTTTATAAATATTCCTATTTCTATATCATATATTATTATAATTATTATCATGTATCTATTTTTAACATTATAATATTCAGAATCTACATTTTTATTTATCTTGTAATATAATACTCATGTACATAGTAGAATAGTATAGTGGAAGATTATTTTTAATTTTGGTAAAATAGTTATATTTGGATGATGATCTCAAATATCTTTTCACGTCCTTTGACATCCTTTAATTTTCTTTCATGTCTTTCCATGTCTTCTTACATCTTTTCATATCTTTCAATATCCTTTCACATACTTTGATATTCTTTAACATTCTTTGACATCTTTCAACGTACTTTGACATAATTCACTTATAATTATTTATATTATAATACTTTAATTATATCTTGTATATTAGATAATATTAGCTAGTAATACTATAATAATTTT